GCTTCTAGTTTTGTACGTTTTTTTTTTCTTATTTATCCATCAAATTATTAACCAATTCTGGTTTGGTTACCAAACCGAGCATATATGGATTATCTTTTAATTGAAAAAATTAATCTCCCCTCTATATTTACCGTCCGTTGGATTTTGTCAACACATGTATGTTTGGAAGCTATTATTATAAAGTTATAAGCTAGGTCGGTTTTCCAAAATACATTAGAATCAATTATTTGTTTTTCCTGAAAGAATCAAGGGTGATATATGCATAACTTTCAGTTAATGTAATTTATATGGTTTACATTTGGTCATACAGTCTATTATGATAGGATGAGGTTTGTTGATATTATAATAAAAGCATAAAACACAGTTATAGAAATTGAAAATGTTAATTAACAAACGCGTTCTGATGGGAAGAAGTTTCTTATAAGTACTTTTAATATTTATTTCTAAAAATATCTCAGGTCTAAATAGTATGGATATATTTAATAAAATTTAAAAAGGATGATTCAACTAAAAGAGAACATGAAAAAAATTGTTACTATATTATTTTTTCAACGTTAAGCATATGTTTAAAGATTTATAACTTCAAATACAATAATTTTGCATGTTGTAATTTGTCAATTGTTTCAAATCGCCACATGTATTTGTCGCTCTTTATTATATATTTTTTGATAAATTTATATTTGTTTATTAAGTGGATCAATATATGCATGAAACAACATATTTAACATGAAATATTTTATATATCAACTTAATAGAATTTTATCATATTTAGTTCAATTTAACAATTATTTTAATATGATAGATTATGATTATAAAATAAATAAAATAGGAAATTTTTTATTTTTTAATTTATAAACAATAATGGAATATATATATATATTAATGTATAATAATAGTTTATTATTAATTACGAAATTAGTGAAAATATTTACAGAACATTTATTAATATTGAAATATTTTTACAATATATTTTGCAACAAATTTTTTAGAATTTTTAAAATATTCATATTTATATTTAAAATTAAAATATATCAAAGATATTGTGATTAAAGTAATTACATAAATTTTATATTATTAATGTTAAGAAAATACATTTATAAATGTCTAAGGAGGTTGTGTTTCAAAAAAAAAGTTTAAGGAGGATCCAATTATATTATCTTTGATATTTATGTGCTTAATTTTGATGGATTATGCATATAATATATTCTAATATAGATGTTTGATAATAATTTTTTTGAAATTTTAGTTTTAAACTTGAACCAAACCCTAACTATTTAAAATTCGGTTTCACTTCGGATTTTAAAAAATTTAAATCTGATCTAAACTCGACATTATCCTAACCGATCCAATCCAAACGAAACCGTTAAATTGTTGTATTTTGAAATAGTTATGTAATATCGAAGACAAACACCCGCGCAGGTAACCTAGTTACTATTAAAAGGGATAATTCTAGCCAGATTAGAGTGTCCACGTAGACACTTTTATTTAACCAGTAATATTATTCCAAAGCTCCACATCAGCTTTGGTTTGACATCTAATTTTGGTTCTTAAAAAAAATACGATTTTGGTTTGGTTTTCTGAACTATAGGTTTTGTTTGTGTCGGTAAAAGATGATCATGGAGATACCAAGACGAAGCCAAATGATATTAGAAAAGAAATTATGCGCTACTTTCAGAGCTTATATACTAGTGAAGGGTGTGTTATTGATGAAGATCTTTTGCGAGGTATTCCTGTGACCATATCTGAGGATATAAATGCAAAATTAACTGCACAAGTCACAGAGAAGGAGATAGAAGCTGCTGCCTTTTCAATAAACCCGGATAAATCACCAGGACCTGATGGCATGAATTCAGGGTTTTATAGGCATCACTGGGAAACCATTAAACAAGGTGTGTTCTCTCATGTTAAAACTTTTTTTGATCAGAATCACCTTGACCCTAAGATAAACCAAACACATGTTTGGCTCATCCCTAAAATAGATTCTCCCTCTACTATTAGGGATTATAGACCTATAAGTCTCTCTAATGTTGCTTACAAAATTATTTCTAAGATCTTAGCTGAGAGACTGAAACCTTATCTTCACCGAGCCATATCTGAAAACCAATCAGCATTTATCCCCGGAAGGCTGATCACAGATAATGTGCTCATTGCCCATGAGTTGATGCATTATTTACATACTAAGAATCTTAAAACTAAATTTATGGCTCTTAAGTTAGATATCTCTAAAGCTTTCGATAAGGTTGAATGGAAATTTATAGATCAGATTATGAGAAGAATGGGATTTTGTGATACTTGGTGTCAATGGATTTATAAATGCTTATCGACTGTATCATATTCCATTCTCATCAATGGTGAGCCTACTGATATAATTAGACCTCAGCGTGGAATACGCCACAGAGATCCCATATCACCTTATCTCTACATCATATGTACAGAGGGATTATCTCAACTTATAAAAAGAGCCATTAATCAGCAAAAACTTCATGGGTATAAAGCCTCCCGAGGGGGTCCAGCAATATCTCATTTATTTTTTGCTGATGACTCTCTTGTTTTCTGTAGAGCAACCGTAGAGAAGTGTAGGAAACTGAAGGAAATACTGAACATCTACCAAAAAGCATCAGGACAGGAGGTAAATTATACCAAATCAGCCATCACTTTCTCCAAAGGTATTTCTTCCACTGACCAGCAACAACTAAAAGAAGTAATGGGAATCAATAAAATAGGAGGTTTTGGAAGATATTTAGGATTACCTGAACGCATAGGTCGTAAAAGAAAAGAAGCTTTTGAGTATTTGAAACAAAGGATACAAAATAAACTAGATAGTTGGTATAATAGGTTTCTGTCCCAAGCAGGGAAAGAGGTACTCTTGAAAGCGGTTGGTACGGCTCTTCCCACTTATGCAATGTCTTGTTTTTTATTGCCAAAAAGTTTACTCAAAGAAATTACTTCTTATATGAGGAACTTTTGGTGGACTTCTATCAAAGACAAGCATAAGATCCCTTGGATAGGATGGAATAAAATTACTAAATCTAAAAGAGATGGGGGTTTAGGGATAAGAGATATGGAGAATTTTAATATAGCCTTGCTAGCTAAACAGGGATGGAGACTGATGAAGCATCCTCAATCTCTTCTGGTTAGAGTTTTCAAAGCTAAATACTATCGTCATTCAAATTTCTTGCAAGCTAAAAGCTACACTACATCAAGCTATGGATGGCGTAGTATCATACAAAGTCAGAAGTTACTAAAACAAGGAAGCAAATGGATCGTAGGTGATGGGAAAACATTCGAGTGTGGGAGGATAATTGGATTAAAATCAAACCATCATCTCCTGCTTCTGGACCTGGTTCAGTTAGTTATCCTCACCTCAGAGTTAGTGATCTGCTTGAAGGAGGTGATCACGCGTGGAACACCCAGTTGGTTAGAAGCCTCCTTTCTGATGTTTACTCCAACTATGGTTTAAACATTCGACCAATCCAAACAGGTAATCCTGATACCCTTGTCTGGTCATACGCTAAAGATGGATATTATAGTGTTAAGACAGGGTATCATTTACAATGTGAGATGGAGGATCAAGATTCTCATTTAAATCAAGGAAAGATTTTGGAGGAAGTTAAAAGATGTTGCTCAGACATATGGAAACTAAAAATTCCTCCAAAATTAAAAACATTATGGTGGAGAGTAGCTCATGATAGTCTAGCTGTGATGGATAATATGAAAAAGAGAGGAATTGCAATAGAAAGTACCTGCCAAACATGTGGAGAGAGCATTGAAACACTTAACCATATGATGTTTGAATGCAGAGTAGCCAAAGAAATTTGGGAGATGATTCCTACTCGTTTTCATGTGTCTACCAATTCCTCAGATAATTTGATTATGAATATTAATTGCTTGCTGGGATGTGCTAAGCAGGATAAGAGAGAACTTCTGAATTTCTTTGCAGGATGGAATATATGGAAAATGAGAAATAATATCTTATTCCAACATAAAAGAGATCATATACTGAAGGTTATACATGCAGCAATAAGAGAGAATCAAAGCTGGAATGAAGCAATGGACAATGAAAATCCTCAAGAGCAGAGTACCCGAACACAAAGGAATCAAACTGAAAACATACATGAGGTACTCCCGACTTTAACAAGCTTTTATTGTCTAGTTGATGCTTCCTGGAAGAGTGACAAAGAGGTAGCAGGTATAGGATGGTCCTTACATAGTAAAGAAGGCATCCAAAAGCTTAGGGGTTCCTCTTCAATCAAGGCAACAAACACATCTCTGGAAGCAGAGGCAATGGCTTTGTTAATGGCAGTCCGACAAATCAAAAGCTTACGGTATGAGAATGTGACCTTTATTTGTGACTGTAAGCTACTAGTTGATGAGTTAAATCAGTACTATACTGAAGAAACCATCACCAGTATGCGTATCACGGAGGCTTCTTTTATGATACGAGACATCTACAATATGTCACGATCTTGTAGTTATACCTTTCACTTTATGTCAAGATCTTTTTTAGCTGATGTAGATGCTTTAGCTAAGGAAGCAAGAACTAAAAATTAGAACTATGTAATAACTTGGTCTTTTTGATAATGAAAAGAAATATGTTGCCAAAAAAAAAAAATTGTAATCGTCTGTTTGGGCTTCTCAATTTCTGGTTTGGTTTGTGTCGGTAAAACTTTAGAGTCTTCAGAAAGTTAAGTTTCCAGATCTCTCTAACCTTTCCACTTCCTCGCCTGCGATGTCTTCTCTTCAATTTCTTCAGTTTTCACCATTAATCTAACCCACTTCTTTTCTAATCAATTTTCTTAAACTTCTAGATTCTGAAACTCTATATCAAGCTTATTAAGATACCTTATTGATCGACTTTTGCATTTACGAGCGCAAGGATTTGAGTGGTTCTCTCAGAAATCACGTTTTTCTATATTTTGTAGATTGGAATTGTGTTCTTTTTTTTTTGTTGGATGAGGAAAATAGAAGAAAGTGATAAGTTTTAGATTGCAGGGGAGGTTATGGTTCCAGGTGATGACGTGGACATGGATCCAGCAATCTCTAGGGCTTTCTTGGTTGCTCTTTGTAAGAATGGGTTCCCATCGACTCAACAGTCTGATGGTGATAAGTTGATTACAGTACTGCTTCATCAGTTTAGGTCGAACTGTTACTCATCAGTATATAATGCGTCATGTAGTGGAGGCTCTCTCTCTCTCTGTGTGTGTTTAGGCAGCAAGTTGCTTCCTTTGAGGATGAATCCATTGAGAGTTTAGAGAAGCAAGAGATTATTTTCAAGTTGATAAGCCATGTTTTGGGTAAAGTGAAGGTTGATTCTAAGCTCCATGATCAGGTGAGTTCTATAGCTAGAAGAAAGCTTCAGTCCATGTCTGCATTTCTCAAGGTAAACATTTTTTGGTTTATCAAGCTGCAGCTAAAATGAAAATCAAGAGTCTTGTGTCCCTTGAAACAGACGGAAAGACATATAAAAAGCTGACTATGAAGACTCTTACATTGCTGTTTGATGCTGCAGAAGCTTGCTTAACATCCCAGTGGCGGGAAATGAAGAAATGCAAAGAACTTGTAACGACCAAAATTCATGATATCAAGAATTGTTAGCCTGCTAAGGCCTACCCCATATCTCATATAAATACCCAGCTTTACTCCATCAGCTCATTTTTGTTGAAAAATCAGAAGTTAGAGAGAGAGAAAGGAGAGAGAGAGAGAGAGAGAGAGAGAGAGAGGAGAAATGGAGAAACCCATGTTTCTGAGCCATCACCGGAGCTCGTCCGGACCGCCACTCATCGGCACCAGGCAGAGCTCATCACCACCGTCCACCACAGCCAAAGTAACCGGAAATCGCAGTGAGTTGAAGCTTTGTTTTCTCCGTTTAGTAAATCGTCAATAACTTCTGAACCGTTGAGAATCTCGTGCATGCAAGGCCACGACCATGTTCTACTCGTCGAGACGAAGCCGTAGACACCAAAAACGCCTCGATCCGACCTCAGACGAAGCCGCACGCGCCCGTCAAAGTTTTGCCGTCTGAGCGCGTGGAGTGCATACGCCGCCGCCGGACCGCCGTGTCTCCGCCGCCAGACCGCCGTGTCTCCACCGCCGACCACCGCCGGAGCCGCCGCCGGACTGCCGTGTCTCCGACGCCGGACCGCCGCCGCTCCGCCGCCGGACCACCGTCGCCGCCGGTAACCGTCGCCGGTGACTCGTCGGTGACTCGGTCAACTCGGCCGGGTCAACCCAGCGAGTCAACTCGGTTGACTCGGTAAACTGGTGGTTTGACCGGTTCAATTGAATTGTGATTTGGTTAAGATTTGGAATCTATTTGAGCAGCTGGAGTTCATAGATACCACTTTTCCCCAGTTGCTAAGGTGAGGGTCTACTTCTGAACGATTGTACGCGACTTAGAACTTTAAATAAATATAATTTATTTCTAATGTGTTCCGTCTTCGTGAATTAAGTCTAAATTAGGGTCTGATTGGTGTCTGCTTGTTTAGGTTTAGAATTCTTTGCATAAACCGGATTAGGGTGTCAGATGGTTCAACATTGATTGCTTCACTTAATGCAAATCATGTAGTTAGGGATTGTTTTGGCCGGATACAGTAAGGGACCTCTGTATGCCAGATTGTATTGGGGCTACGGACGGCTGTGTCGACCGGCCGGGTCGTAGTCTGTTATGGTCGATAAATCGTCTTCGGGCGGTGTGACTGGGCACTTAACCCAGCGTTTGGCCTGTTAGTGGGCAGCGGGTGTGCACCCCGCTAGGACTATTGTTTGTTTGCGTGGGTAATTTAGGTACCATGTTTGTACATAATAGATTTAATTTATATTTATTTGGAGTGCTATGTTCGGGTCTACGGGCTTCGAGGTAGCATCCCATACCTCACTGAGTGACTCCCGAGTCGCTCACCCCTCTTTCTTCCCCATTTCAGGTGAGACAAGCAACAAGTGATATTTGGACGAACTTGGTGCTATTGGGCTTTTCTATTCAGATTTTTATTTGGGCTTGGGCGAGTGTAATTGGGCTTTTGGGTCTTTATGTTTCGAGATATTATGGGTGGCCCGTCGTCCTAGAGAGAGGGAGACGGGTGGCACATTATTATTTGTTGACGCGTCGGGGATGACACGCTGTCCTCCATGTAGGAGGTGATGGGTGTTACATTTTTGGTATCAGAGCGGGTTCCATCCCGGTTATGTCCCGGGATGGCGGTCAGGGGATTCGGTTTTCAAAGTTTTCAAAAAGAATATATATATATATAATAGTAAAAAAAAAAAAATATTTGTCTCTTTTTATGACGATAAGTAAAATCATCGTCATTCATCTTTCGGCTACCAGAGATCTACCAGATGTTCAACAGAGATGTGATGCCGCAGTTTTGTCAGTGTTCGCCGAGGTTTATTGGTTTCTTCATTCTTTCTCCTATGCTGTACTGGAGTGGATATGTGACGTTTTTTCCATCACCCAATTTCAAGCCGTCGTCCCACGAGTTTCTGATGTATGAGTTTTTGTGATGTGAGTTTTGAGCCATGGATTGGCATGTGATGTTTTGTGTATGAGTATGTTGACTATTTTGGAGTTATGCTTTGTTGGTAAACTCGTGGAGATCACTTTTGGAATTAGGGTGTAACATCTTGCGTTATGGTTATATTGGAGTTGCATTTGGCATGGTTGCCGGTTTTTGGTGGTGTTGACCTTTTCAGAGATGTGTCAGCTTCGAAAGCTGGCATAAGATGTGGAGATTTATTTATGTTCGTCGAGTGTTACCAGTTATGCTTGGATGGCTAGAGACATTCAGAGATTCGCCAGAGATGTAGCTGAGTTTTACGGCGCCAGTTTTGTGATAAAATGATCGTCATGATATCAAGAGGTATTGAGTTGCTAGAAGCAGTGGTTTATATTCCTGAGAGAGATAAGAGTTTTATTGCTTCCACACTACATGTTGAGGAGTTATTGGATACAAGAGCAAATCGATTTTTGAAGACCGGGTGATAATTAAGGATGATGGGTAACAAGAGATGCATGAGCTGCTAGTTATTACAACATATAAGAATGTATTTGAGACCTATAGAAGGGTCACCATCGGATAGAAGACACGTTTATACAATTGAGTTCGAACAAGAGGTAGCACCAGATTCACGAGTTCCATACCGATTAGTGCGAGCAGAGATGACCAAACTGATGAGACAGTAAAAGATTTAGCAGACAAAGATTTTATTAGACCGGACTTTTCGCCATGGAGACCACCAATGTTACTGCGACGAAGGAAGATGATATTCTCAGACTTTGTGTAGGCTACAGAGGTTTAAACAAGGTGACATCAAGAATAAGTATCCGCTTCCGTGTATTGATGAGTTGTTGGAGTAGCTGCAAGGAGTTTTATGGTTTTCGAAGGTTGATTTAGCATCGGATTATCACCAGAACCCCATAGTGGAGGAGGATGTGTGGAAGACAACCTCCCGTACACGTTATGGGTATTATGAGTTGTAGTAAGAACATTTGTATTGACGAACGCACCGGTAGTGTTCATGAAACTTATAATTGTTGTGTTCTACGAGTATTTGGTTACGCGTGTGATCGTTGTCATCGAGGATATCCTAGTTTATTCTTGGAGCAGAGAAGAGCATGCAGAGCATTTGCGGATTGTATTGGGTAAGCTGAGAGAGCATCATATATTTATTAAGTTGAATGAGTGTTGCTTCTGGCAAAAGGAGATTAGATTTTTGGGTCACGAGGTTTCAGAGGCAAGAGTTGTTATTGATCCGGAAAAGATTATTGCAGTCCCAAAGTGGTTATCACCTAAGAGTGTTGCTGTATAGATCAGTAGATTTGGCGGGATACTACAGAAGGTTCATCATTTTTGAAGATTGACTTGGATCAAGAGTATCCTAAGATTACCATAGCTGGGAAGTATGTACAGATTACAGTTTCACATATAAGATGGATAATAGATTTGGTGGGATACTACAAAAGGTTCATCATTTTTGAAGATTGACTTGGATCCAGAGTACCATAAGATTACTATAGCTGGGAAGTATGTACAGATTACAATTTCACATATAAGATGGATAATACGAGTTGGAAATAATATTATTGGGTTGAAGAATTCAGGGATAACATTCATGAAACTTAAGGATAAATTCTTTTGCGAGAACTTGGATAAGTGTGTGGTTGTATTCATCGGCAACACCCTGAATATTGTTGGAGTAAAGAGAGTATGAAGAGCATAGGCAGATTTTGTATTTAATACGAGAATATCAGATCATTGTATAAGCAGTAAGTCAGATCGAGAATATGAATATGGAGCATTTTGGAATATAAGTTAGAGATTTTTGGAGTGATCACCAAAGTTGCCTTTTACATTGACTATGGAGTATCTACGTGGAGATGCATTAGCGTGGTGGGAGAAAGTACGAATAAGCCCCTTTGGACCTATCAGACTTAAAGAAGAGGATTTGTTAGAGGTGTCATTCAGGAAGGGAATCTGATCAGAAATTTTTTGGATAGAATCCAAGTAGAGATTCAGAGCATGTGTTGTGTCGTCGCTTAGTTCAGATTAAGAGTTTTTTTTCAGTGGAGAAAGCTACCGAGCAGAGAATGACTCTGAGTTATTGAGTTGCCCCCGTTACAATCACCGTCATGAAGAGGATTGTATTAATATTTATGTTGTGGTCAGTTGGAGCATATTTTGAGGCCAAATATTCAGTGTGCGACTTGTTGTTAGCAGCAGTTGCATCGGCTTTAGAGTTTTGAGGATCATCATTGCATAGCAAGGAAGTTCAGATTCATGGGGATCATCAAAGTCTGAAATATATGTGCGCATTCATTAAACTTGTACTTTAGGACGTGCAGACAGATTGAGTTGGTAGCAGTCTACAATTTGAATATAGAATGATATTGGGTGAGGTCAACCAAGTGGTAAATGCCTTAAGTAGGTAAATGAGAGATATGTCAGGAACCACAGAGGATCAAGAGTTACTGGAACGCTTACAAGCTTTATGATTATGTGCAGTTCAGTAGAGGATACAGTCGGCATCGAACCATTGGAGCATTGGAACATACAAATTTACTATGGAGATTACACCAAACTCAAGATAGCGATATGGATTTGGTTTGGTGGATCGAGGTTGAGAGTGTTGTATATTATGCAATTTTGAGCAGGATGTTCGGGTATAAACATTGAGTTGGTGTGTTGGACGATAAGCTGTTAAGAAAAAATATCTTACAGCAAACACATCACTCTCATTTCTATATCCACCCGGGAATATTACTTATCATCCAGAGACAGAAGATCAGTTAAAGAGGACCGTTCAGATTTTTGAGGATATGTTCAGAGATCCTCTTGCAAGAGAAATGAAGTTATGGAAGTGTCTACATCTAGCCGAGTTTGCCCACAGTGTCAATTGTAATCAAGGTATTGAGATAGCGCCATATGAAGATTTTCATGATAAGCCTGGACAAAAGTGGGGGAGCAACGAGTTATAGAACCACTACTGGTTCGAGGGACGGTAGAGCAAGTAGACATGCTCAAAGTTGGCTTTGGGAAAGACTATGATCGTCAGAGAGTTATGAACATAAGAATCGTAATGAATTGGAGTTCAGGTAGGCAATCGAGTATAACTGAAAATAAGGACATCTCAGGGAGGATATAAGACCTTGAAGCTAATGAAGCGTAAACCAAGATTATGGGATTGTATTCTATTGTGGAGCGGATTGTAGAAGTTACTTTGGGATTGAATTCATCAATTAAGTTACCAGATTTTCAGGTTTTTGTTTAAAAGTTAGTCTTGACAGAGCCAGAGATAGGTTACAGCAATCACTAGATGACCTCAGCAAGATTGGATTCATCTTGTCAGTTAGCGAGGAATTAAGATAGTCAAGTGGAAGTACTTCGGAGAATGTCGCCAGTGTCTGTTAGAGTTGTTGAGAGAGAGTTGGGGTTCAGAAGAAGATCTTAGAAACCAAGCAAATTGATTATCCAGAGTTTTGCTACGTTGATTTTGGACAGTCAGCGGATTACTCGAATTCGGGGACGAATTCCTTGTAAGAGGGGGAGAATTGTAACGACCCAAATTCATGATTTCAAGAATTGTTAGCCTGCTAAGGCCTACCCCCTTTCTCATATAAATACCCAGCTTTTACCCCATCAGCTCATTTTTGTTGAAAAATCAGAAGTTAGAGAGAGAGAAAGGAGAGAGAGAGAGAGAGAGGAGAAATGGAGAAACCCATGTTTCTGAGCCATCACCGGAGCTCTTCCGGACCACCACTCGTCGGCACCAGGCAGAGCTCATCACCACCGTCCACCACAGCCAAAGTAACCGGAAATCGCAGTGAGTTGAAGCGTTGTTTTCTCCGTTTAGTAAATCGTCAATAACTTATGAACCGTTGAGAATCTCGTGCATGCAAGGCCACCACCGTGTTCTACTCGTCGAGACGAAGCCGTAGACACCAAAAACGCCTCGATCCGACCTCAGACGAAGCCGCACGCACCCGTCAAAGTTTCGCCGTCTAAGCGCGTGGAGTGCACGCGCCGCCGCCGGACCGCCGTGTCTCAGCCGCCAACCACCGCCGACCACCGCCGGACTGCCGTGTCTCCGCCGCCGGACCACCGCCGCTCCGCCACCGGACCGCCGTCGCTCCGCCGCCGGACCACCGTCGTCGCCGGTGACCGTCGCCGGTGACTCGCCGGTGACTCGGTCAACTCGGCCGGGTCAACCCAGCGAGTCAACTTGGTTGACTCGGTAAACCGGTGGTTTGACTGGTTCAATTGAATTGCGATTTGGTTAAGATTTGGGATCTATTTGAGCAGCTGGAGTTCATAGAACCATTTTTCCCCAGTTGCTAAGGTGAGGGTCTACTTCCGAACGATTCTACGCGACTTAGAACTTTAAATAAATATAATTTATTTCTAATGTGTTCCGTCTTCGTGAATTAAGTCTAATTTACGGTCTGATTGGTGTCTGCTTGTTTAGGTTTAGAATTCTTTGCATAAACCGGATTAGGGTGTCAGATGGTTCAACATTGATTGCTTCACTTAATGTAAATCATGTAGTTAGGAATTGTTTTGGCCGGATACAGTAAGGGACCTCTGTATGCCGGATTGTATGGGGGATATGGATGGCTGTAGTCGACCGGCCGGGTCGTAGTCTGTTATGGTCGATAAATCGTCTTCGGGCGGTGTGACTGGGCACTTAACCCAGCGTTTGGCCTGTTAGTGGGCAGCGGGTGTGCACCCCGCTGGGACTATTGTTCGTTTGCGTGGGTACTTTAGGTACCATGTTTGTACATAATAGATTTAATTTATATTTATTTGGAGTGCTATGTTCGGGTCTACGGACTTCGAGGTAGCATCCCATACCTCACTAAGTGACTCCCGAGTCGCTCACCCCTCTTTCTTCCCCATTTCAGGTGAGACAAGCAACAAGTGATATTTGGACGAACTTGGTGCTATTGGGCTTTCCTTTTCGGATTTTTATTTGGGCTTGGGCGAGTGTAATTGGGCTTTTGGGTCTTTATGTTTCGAGATATTATGGGTGGCCCGTCGTCCTAGAGAGAGGGAGACGGGTGGCACGTTGTTATTTGTTGACGCGTCGGGGATGACACGCTGTCCTCCTTGTAGGAGGTGACGGGTGTTACAGAATTGTTCATAACTCTGCTTTCTGGGATTGCGGCAGTCGCAAAGGGAAGATGTTCACCACATGGGCTGTTTGTCAGACTTAAACCACGTAGTATCTGTCTGCGCACAGGTAATTCTGTTTATGGCAACTTATTTGAGAAACATGGTTTTAGACCAAAGTATAATTTTAACACATCATGTCCCTACTTCTCTGGAGTCTGGATATATCTTAATTGACTGGTTGAGGTTTCTTTCTGTTGGAACAGCCTGATACTTGGGTGGGAAATCAGAGGAATATTTTGAGAGTTCATCTAAAATATATTGTCAGATTACTGAATCTATTTGGGCCAAGGATCGAGCTTTAGTAAACACCTTCATCGGGGGGTTAGCTTCAAGGATTCATGAAAAGAATGATTATGAAGAACAGGTTACTCTTAACCTTTCCCTTAGCTGGATTAGACATATTTCTTTTGTTGCAATTTTAATAAGCGCAATCATCTGGCTCTCAGGTTGGTAGGGAGAAGGAAGATCCTACTGTACCGCTGAATGTTATTCAGCTGCTTACTGATATTAGCGTTGCTGTTAAGAAGCCTGAAGTAGCGGACTTGGTCTTCCCATTTTTTGTTGAAAGCCTAGAAGAGGGTGATACTTCAACTCCTGGCTCTTTGTGACTCCAAGTATGGCTCCGTTTCAAGTGATAATTGTCTGGCCATTATTCCATCTGTTGTGCCACTTTCTCAAAACTTGGCAGTAGAACAACTAGATATATCTTTTTCTTCATATTTACTTATGCATATATTGCCACTTATATGTAGCTTCTTGATGATGTATCTCGGATAGCAACATTAGGATTTGAGAAGTCCTACCGCGAGACAGTTGTTTTGATGACTAGAAGTTACTTGAGCAATATATCGATGGTGGGATCTGAGGAAAGAATGATATCAGAACCAAAAACTAGAACTAAGCATCTAGAGGCATACTGTAATCTGATACATGGTTCTTTTCTGTGTTTCTTTTCGATTTTTCCTATTCAATTGGATTGCAGATTCTTGCTGCAGGCTTTCTTACAATTGCTAATGGTCTTAACACGTCCTTGATGATTATAGGTTGTCTTCGTGGAGTTGTGTTGAAGCGGTTTGTCTATTCTCAAACCTCAGACTTTTAAGATCTGCTCTTCACAATTGTGATTATGTTTCTTCCTTCTTATTTATCAGAAACTATATGAAGCACCAGAACCGTTTCCTGCTCGTGCTTCTATTGCTGTAACTCTCCAATTACCTAATGTTGACATTTTAGAAATTAACATTCGTTAAGAAAAAGAGAATCTAAACAAACTTACAAAATTGCTTCCTTTTGTCTTTTAGTAGGCTTAGAAGAAGCACAAGTATGATGGTGTGAAATCAAAAAAAGACCATAAAAAAGGAGGAGGAAAATCGAAAGAAGACATGGAAAAATCAGAGAAAGGACTTTGTTTAACAACCTAAAGAGTTCAAACTGTAGCAGCGTTTTTCTAATATAACGGTGTATGCAGTTCTATAGTGCATTGAGTTATATCAGAGTTCAAGATATAATTTATTAAACCCATCTGATATATGCACATACCCAAAAATTACATCATCACTTCCATCTAGATTAATAAATCACACAAACTTGGAAGCAACAACACATAATAAATCTATTATAAAATTGGTATAAAATTTAACATTTTACCAAAAAAAAAAAGAAAAAAAAAAGAAGTATTTTTGTTTATAGCCTAATTAATGGCTATAAAAGAACTAAAAACAAAGAAAAATGGGTGACAAAGAAACACAGAAATGCAAATATGGAACATGGGTCGATCATAAATAAGATATTTATGCACAAATATGAAATAAACTCCTAAAGAAGATAATCGAATTAATAATCACTGGTAGTGAACCAAAAAAACTTATAATTTTTTTTTCAAAAAAAATTATACATTCTGTTTTACAATTATCAAATATTAATAACGGTTTAAAAGTTTATAAAAACTTCAAAATTTAGCATTAGACAAAATGTTAATGTAAACTTTTGAAGGTTTTTGGCGACTTTTTGAGGATTGTTCTACAGTTAATAGTAGTCATCAAAACATACAATATCTCATATTGATTCTAAATGCCATACAAAATTTCACTACAACAAAACTCATCCATTATTAGGACGAGTATTCCTAGTTATTTCCTAGTAAATGACCATTTACTAGGACCTTATGAGGAAACACATTTCGTTGAAATACGTTCATCGTAAAGCCATTTCCCTCGTAAGGTCGTAGTTATTTTACGAGGAAACTTTTCCTCGTAAACGCGTGGTTATCTTTTCCTCGTAAGGTCCTCGTAAGGTTTCCTCGTAATGTCATAGTAAATGATTTCCTCGTAATCTCGTAGTAATACGTTACGAGGAACTTACTAGAATAATTTACGATGAAATTACTTCGAAACCTATACGAGGATTTTGCTTCGAAATATTTTTTTCCCTATTAAAAAACAATTAATTATAAATATAAATAATATATTTTTAAAAAATAAAAAAATCAAATTAGAAATAATAAAAAAAAAAATATTTTATAAATAACTAAATAATATATAATTAAGTTTTAAAATTCATAATATACAATTAGAATAAAAAAACTACGGATGGTGTTCGTGAAATTGCCGAACGAAATCGTCCTGGCTCGCCAAATCCTCCTCCTCTCCAAAGATGGTTGCCGGCTGTGACTGTGATGGTGGAGGCTGTTGGGTTGGAAGCCCTCCGCGTTTCCGTCTCTGACGCAACATCTCCTCCAATTGGGGGTTTCCAACCGCCAAAATGTCGAGGACATCGGTGAGAGAAGTCACATGCTCGGTGAGCGAACTCACATGAGACTGCGTCGCCTACAACTTCGAGCGCAGCTGAGCATTGACATCGTGCTGCTCCTGAGCATAAGACGATGTCGCTGCAAGGACATCGTTAACCGAGCCAATCCCGACGATACGCCTTTTTTCCTAGGGGCGACCTGTAAATAAAAATATTAATAACATTAAGAAAAAATTTAAATAAATAATAAAAATTAATAGTAAAACAAATTATTTACCTCCTCGTAAATCTTATTCACTTCAAGAGTGGATAATATGACTGGAGTCCCAGTCCGCTGAGTCAGCTGGGTCTGGTGTTCGTCAACTCGGGCAACAACCCCGTTGTAGATCCGCTCGGAAGCAGGATCTACAAACTGCCCAACCTTGTTCCAATGGGTCCTCTCGTAAAGGTCTTTCAGAGATGGAAGAACTCCTGTCTCTTTAGCCTAAAAGTAATTTTTAAAATTAAATATTAATTTGGAATATTCAAATAAAATAAAAATTAAATAGTTATTAAAAATCATCTTACCATGTCTAGACGAACTCCCCCGTGAGGTCTTCGACCCGTGGTGTGAAGCACTTCGTGTTGCCATGCTCGTCTCTGGTCATGCGGTTCCCGGAGTTTGTGTGGGAGGTTCTGACCGAGTCCAGCAACCCCCAATAGCTGATGAGGCCATCCCACACCGTGGTTGTGAGGCAATCGGGTTTCCCGTCCTCGTAACCATCCACCTGATTTAAAATAATTAGAATCAAAGTTAATAATATTTTTAAAACTATATATATATTATAATTTATAAATCTATACCTGAAAGTCGTACTTCCAGTTGTAGACCATGTCGAGCAATCGTGCTCTTGCCTTGCCCTCAAACTCCGTCTTCACCCGCTGGTGAATCCCAATAGACCAACGATATTTTTGCTGTAACCAAAAAAAATAAGAGACGGATTAGTTCAATATTATTAATAATTTTAAATAATTAAAAATAAATTAAACTGATCATTATTTAAACTTACAGCGAACGATTTGAACCACGTCTTTTTTGTGTGGCTCGCCGTCTTCTTCCAGTTTGGAGCTGCATCGGGAAAGTATCCCTTGATACAGTCTGTGTCGCTAGTTGCGACACAATTGTCAAGACCAAACCTGGAAAGACACAAAATAAATCATTAATTAGATTAATTTGTAAGTATTTTGTTAATTAAGAAATAAATTTTAAAAAATTAAAAATTTAAAACATACCATAATACGTTTTGGCCGTCCCGTCGGATATGATCTAACTCTGGCAGCCCTTCTCTGCCTGGAAGGGCCAAAATATCCTCCACCGTGTACACCGCAAAGGGTGCGTTCAACGGCACCTGCAAATCGGGATGAACCCCGACCGGTGGAGGAGGAGGAGGAGGTGGAGGAGGTGGAGGAGGAGGTGGTTGCTCAAACCGGGACGCCGTAGAAGCTCCCTGAGTCTCGGGAACAGCGTCACGATCCGGAATCAAGGATGAACCGGGAGTTGACGAAGATGAACCGGGACCAGCCTGATGCTCAAAAAGATCTCCGTAGTGACTCCCCTGAAGAGACGACCTCTTACTAGCCCTAGCAATCTTGCTCTGTCTAGGCATCTATATTTTTTTTAAAAAAAAATCAAAACATTATTTCCCGTATAATTAAAAAAACAGTTAAAAAAGTAAAACAACCTAATCTAAATTACCTAAACTAACCACCTAATCTAAATTCCCTAAACTAACCACCTAATCTAAATTCCCTAATCTAATCACCTAACTAGGAAATAGAGAGAACCTTAAGAGAATTCATAGAGAAGTTTACTACAAATGAAAGGATTGCTCGAGTTTATATAAGGAATTTTGTTTCCTCATAAAGCCCTAGTAACATTACTAGCGCTTTACGAGGAAATATCTATGCCCGTGTTTTTATTTCCTCGTAACGTCCTAGTAATACAATTACTAGGACCTTACGAGGAAAATGCTTTACGAGTAAATAGCTATGCCCGCGTTTTTTTCCTCGTGAAGTCCTAGTAATACCGTTACTAGAACTTTACGACGAAACGGCTATGCCCGCGTTTTCTATTACTAGGGCTTTACGAGGAAAGAGTTTATAAATCCCTAAACTCGTAACCCCAAACCCCAAACCACAACTTCCTTAACTTATAACCTCTTCTACAACCAAACTCCTAACCTCTTCTACATATAAACCCCAAACCCCAAATGCAAATTGATTTTGTGATTAAACAAACTTATAAACATACATAATTCATTCGGATACATTGTCGTAATCTGTTGAAACATCATCATTTTCTAAAAACTCGTCGTCTACACCTTCGTCCGTTGAGTGATCAGGAACATCTTCGTATTCACGATTATGCGGATCAATGAGTAGGAACTCATCAATTTCTGCTTCAGCTTCCTCGATCTCATTGGTGTTTTCTTCTTGTAATGGTGGTTCTTCTCCAGCGATTATTCGTCCTCGAGGTGTAACTTTGATAACAGCTAACCAGTTTATTCCCGAGGTAGTAATCCGAGGGTATGGAATGAAGCAAACTTGATTTACTTGGGAAGCTAATATGAAAGGATCGAACTTGTTGTACCTACGAAAATAAAGATCTATGTAAAAATTAATTAATACTGGAAACCTGGATATTAAAAAAAAAAAGAATTTGTTGTACCTTCGTCCACCGTTGACATCAACTACACCGTTCTTGTTAATCCAAACACCTCTGTTGACGACGGGGTCGTACCACTCACACTTGAAGATAACGCATTCAAACTCATACCTGGGAATTGAACTTCATAAATCTCCTGCAAGATCCCGTAGAAATATGTTTCGCCTTTCACACATATTCCATAATTACTTGTCGCCCGGTGTCTACCATAGTCATAGGTATGAAAAGTATAGCCTCGGGTGAAATACATCGATGATGTAGTGACCTTTGCAACTGGACCTTGAAGTAATTCGCGAAACCATGCGGGATACTCAGGATCGTCATAATCAATCCTGTAACAAAAAGTAATATAACTAGACATTAGACTTACTTTGTGGTAATGTATGCATACAATTTAAGTAATAAATAAATACATGTTTCCTCAACCACTTGATAAAGTGTTGATCTTTCTTTTTGTCTAACTCAGTTATCGATATACTAGGTATTGCTTCCTCGACTTGAGTCACAAATTGGCTGTAAAATCATATATGTTATGTTTATATTTAATATTGAATATATATATAT